ACTTTGGTTATTTTGCGCACTCCTAGTTTACAGAAGAAACTTGTTAATTAAGGTGAGATGTGAATAACATTGCTCCATGTGGTATAGTGATGATCTCACGACAGATGAAAAGCAATAGACTGACTGAGTTTGGTTTTACGCCGCTTTTAGCAATATTCCAGCAACATCACGGCGGTGGACACCAGAAATGGGCTTCACACATTGTACCCATGTGGGGATTCGAACGATGGTCTTCGGCGTGACGAGCCAACGCTTTAACCACTAGGCTACCCCACCGCCCGAAAAGCAATAGAATGAACATATACTCAACAAAAGTTAAGAACCACCCCGATTTTCAATATTAAAGTATTTAATAGATTATCCATATAATACTTAAATATTGAATATTGGGTTGGTCCTTCACTTTCTTTGTTGAGTATATATATAATTTTGATGGCAACTGCAATGTTGATTGGTGCATTCTTTACGCTTAGTGAGTGAAGCAGACATAAAAGTGTATTTTGTGTTCCGTTCGTTCTGTATGAAAGGTGACAAAGTTATTTTGACGCGAATCAATCAATACGTGATCAGTATTTCAGGTGTATCGATGATCTAATATGGTATAGTGCGTTTGGCTCAAAAGCGGACCGATGAATTGCAATATAACTCGAAAACTAATAAACATATAATACTCAATGAAACGCTGATCATAATCAAAATATCAGACCAACTCTGTGATTTGTTTGCAGAATTTATGTCCTAAAATTAAAAAAAGTTGTTTAACAAACTATCATTAAAATATGGACACAGTTCACTATTTTGCACGAGGGAGTAGTGCAGAGAAAGGGACAGCCAGGTGTTAGAGAAATGATGGAGACGGCACAGCACAGGTTAATGAATCATTAACTTTGTCGGCACTTGTGCACGTGCTTCTCTAACACCTGGCTGTCCCTTTCTCGATCCCGGGCTCGATCCCGACACCTCAACCTCGCTGGATCACTAGCCTGGCGCTTTAGCCAGCTCGACACCAGAAATGGGCTTCACACACTGAACCCATGTCTTAAGCGTGACGAGCGAACGTTTAACCACTAGACCAACCCCGTCACCCCTAATGTGGCAGTATTTGTAGACATTTGTATAATGCTTCTGTTGGGGTTAAGTGGAATGCAGCAGTGTGCTGGTTACTATATTTTCACTTTGAGACAAGATGGTGAGGACATTTCTATCAGTGTTGTCCGACAACGATATAGAGAAAGTTCTGGACCTTGTTATATATAAAAACGTGTGCTCTTCCTCAGTCATCAGACATTACAAGAAGACCAGCAGTTGTGTGAAGATCACTGTCGACCCTGGATACTCTGTCTAGGCCTGTTGTGTAAGGTTGAGCACTGATGCAGCGAGGGAATATCGCCATTACTGTCCTCACTGTTATAAAGACAATTTGTACTGTCGCTTTATGTTGTATTGCAAATGTAATTCCTTTGAAATGATATTTATTAATTTATAAACATTTATAACTTTAGAGTGAGGGAGTTTAGTATTACTCCGCTTTTAGCAATATTCCAGCAATATCACGGTGGGGGACACCAGAAATGGGCTTCACACATTGTACCCATGCAGGGAATCAAACCCGTGTCTTCCGCATGACCAGCGAAAGCTTTAACCACTAGACTACCCCACCATCCCATCTTTAACTTGTGAATACAATTGCTAATTATATCACATTTTTGTTTCACACCAAACTCTTTTGAGTAAGAGATCTTATTGTTTCCACTTGGGAATCAACACATAACAATGCACATCATCTTCCAAACAAAAAAAACTACAACCCATATCAGCTTCTGTAACATTTTATACACAATGATGAGACACTGACATTGATATGATTTAAGTATAATCTACAGTGGCAATAAGCCTGAGAGACTCACCTAAAGCTCAAGTGACACATATCAATTAACCAATCAGTGACAAGTTTACAGTGACCTGCTAATCACTGACCAATCGGCGACAACATCACAAGTGTTCAATCACTGACCAATCGGTGACAACATAACAAGTGCCCTAGGTACAGCCTAGATCCACAAATATGCACATCATTCTATTAACAGGGAAATAAGCCAGAAATAAGATTGACATGGAACAGATATCATTTATACATGTCTCCATGGAACTCAGCATGCAGAGGATTCCAGTTATATTTACAAATATGCATTATTGTTCGGGTTCAATCCCTTTAAACTGAAATGTCGGAATGGCATGTTCAGTACTTTTTAGGAAAAAATGAAAAATAATTTGTCTTAAAAACAATGCAACAGATTTGGAATAAACAAATAAAAAACTGAGAATGACATCACAAAGAAGGATAATTAAGGGAGATAATCGTTGAGACAATGGATAACACCCATTGAGACAAAAGCTAAACCACTCTGTTCTCTCAAAATCACGTATTTCAAGCTGATTTTGACAATAACATTTCTTTCTGAATAAAACATTTCTATCAATACCCTCGATGTGAGATCGAACACTTCATTAGGAGTTTGTAGTTAATCTTTACTTCTCATGCTGATCAGGAAGCGTTGAAGAAATCATATCTTTCAAAACGCACATATGTTGAAAAAAATCAACATTGTAAAATACCAATAAATGTCATATGCAGTGTTTCATATATGTGTCAAACATATTGAACATTTTTTGAAGAATTTGAAGCTCAAAAATCACTTTGTAACTAGAACAAGAAAATTCTAAAAATGGCACAAACTTGCCACAGAGTTAAAGAGTTAGAAAAATATATTATTTCCTCAGAACATGGACCTTGCTTTTAACATATATATTTCACAAAAACATATATTGCAGAATTTTGTTCTTACAGTTCAATATTCATGGGTTTCTGAATTAAAATCGCTTCAGAAATATAAAATTTACATAGAAACATACTTCCTATTATCCATACTAAAAGGATCAACCTAATATTTTCTCGCCATCTGTATGTACATGTACACTGTGGTATGTTAAATTAAAGATGAATATTTTATACACCAGCACAATAACCATTCTCAAGTATGCATCTGTTAGAAGTTGTAACAACATCATACAGTACTGATGTTATATGCACAGAAAACATGGAATATTTACACCTAGTGTGAGATACAGACGATATCACATTGCTAGTATATACACTGTGGAACACTGAACAATAATTATGCAGATGAGCTGGGTGGTCGGATCATAATGACTTGGATCGATGACGCCTTGAGCACGGTATCAGAACTTCTGATAGTTCACATGAAATGCCCTTTTTTCTTTCCGAGGAACTGACCATTTGCTAACTAAGGCCTGGGATTCACAAAACTGGACAATTTTTAACTGCAACTGCAAAAACAAATATTTATTTAATTAAAACTACAAGCCTACATATATTTTTTAAAACAAATATTTTGCAGTTGTTTTTCACTATTTTCCCAACAGTCTGAAACACAGATATTTTTAATCAACATTTTCAGACAATAAATCATTTTAAATAATATCTCAGCTCCCCTCTCCCCAAACTTATCAAATCGTCAGCACCCTTAACAGCTGAACACTGCTGCTTATCACAATGCATATTGGTTATATTTTCATACCTTTGGTTACAGAATAATTCCATTCAACAATAGTATTATCTGTCAAAATTTCCTCTTCACTTTTCTGAGCAAATATTTAAATGCAGTTTACCCGGACACTCTGAGTTAAGTCACCAGCATCAAATAACCTTGGACACAATATGCAGGCTTGTGTTAACACAATATCGAGTCTAAATACATGAACCATCTATCTCAAATACATTGCCACAAATCGAAGTAGTACTCCCTGGATATTAACCAATCTATTTTGCATAAATTTACATAATTAATTAAGCAAGTAATGACAGGTGTCAATATCAAGCCGCTATCTGCAATGTTTACAGGCAGTTTACAGCTGTCTCTCCAATATGATTCGTGAGTTATATACAGATGAAGTATTTACATAAAAGGATGGAAATTTGACACAATAAACAGATAGGAAAATGATGATAGACAAATGAAGGAGGTGAAATGTCATGTTTATGGCTGAACATAGGGGTATTTCAAACACAAAATCAATAAGTCATAAATGCAGTTTCTAGGTGTAATGTAAGTCAGGGTCCTCATATGGAACACAGGATGTTAAGGTCGCTGGATACATCTTTGGATAGTCTGTCTCGAAGAATAAATAAGAAATGGAAGCCCTGAACCATTCTAGAATGAGTTGGCAAGTCTAAATCACCTCAGCTCTTGGATTAAAAATTGGTCTGGGAGCCTTTTTGAGTTTGTTTTCATTTATATATTTTTCAATATAATAACGTTATTTCTGGGATGAATGTCAAACTAGACTTAGGGATTAATCACATGAGACAAAGTAAGTCTGAAATAAGACATAACAGTTTGGTTTTCTCAGTGGAAGAGTTCTATTCAAAGGAGCAAGTGGGTATTTTCCATCAACAGCCATGTAGCATATTTCTCAACATAATGACACAATTTCTGTAACTACTTTCCAATGTCAAACCTACATACAAAACAACAGTAGCAAGAAATGTTACAAAAAACTGTGTTTCTAGAAATAGAAATGTGACAGAACATTGTGCTTCTGAAAAAAAGGAAACGAAATACAAAATCCTTAAAGCAAATTTCTCAACATGAGTGAGTGAGTTTCTTATAACTGTTTTTCATTGTCAAACCAACACAAAAAATAACCAATAACATACAATTGAGAGAAACTTTGTTTTTGAGAAGTCAGGAAAAAGTTTTCTTATTTATAAATGGTACCAATGACATTACAAATCTGTGCATGAACGCCAAGTGCACATAACCTTAAAACCCTGGTATAATTTCTGAATCATATACTGGAAAATTCAAGCGTTCCTTTATTATTTTCCCAGTTGTCATATCAAAGGAACACTTGGACAGCTTTATTCAAATATATTTTAAGTGTCCAAATATTAAATATCTGATGATGAAAACTGGAAACTGTTTTCTGCAGATAAATATTGACTCTAAATAATACAAACTTGTGTCTTACATTCACACGAGGAAATCATGCAAAAGTTTGAGCAGTGATCACATGACTATTGCTGAAGGCTGGTGTGGCTGAGATTCCAACACTGAGAAATCCTTTTAAGGCTAGACCAATTTTATTTCTTATTTTACAGATCCGTCGGTCGTATTTTTCCAAGAATAAAAATAAATAAATAAATACATTTTCCCCACTCAAAAATAAAAAAGTAATGTTTAGATATACGGGAATGAGACTTCAACTATCCAAGGCACTTTGTTGGACACACTGTTCTCAGAGACTTTAAACTGAATAATCTAACAATATTTGTTTAGAAATCAGTGTTTCGAAAGCACCTCAGCGAGTGTGAACTTGAAAAACAATGCCTTTAAAAACTCATGAGGGTTTTAGCTTTGACTGGTGATTTTTTAAAATGTTTTTTTTCCTCCTGCCTCTAGGTTTTCTGAGGACAAAACCCCGTAATTCAGAAATAAAATTGGTCTGGCCTAAATTATCTTTGTGTGAATGTCTCAAGTACACACATAAAAAATAAGACCTTGAGGTGACTTTCAAAATCAAATTTTAAAATTAAAGTTTAGTGATAACCCCTTAATAATCACCAAACGTTCTCACTTGACATAAGATGACATTTTTATGACAATGAACAATATGAATATGACTTGCTTCCACATTACTATTGATGAAATTATTTGATACAGATAAATGCAAAACAATCTTGGAACCGACAGTCTGTGCATGTCGTATTTGGCAGAGTTACCTCCCTTGTGCCATGAAGTTGCAAACTCCACCGCGCTTCCATTAAATGCAATAACTGAGTTTGAACAAGGCTTCTACATCAGGAACTGAAGAACGATAATCTGTACTGTTTTATGAACACATCACTGAGATACTTCAGTGTTTTAAAGCACGTACGTTGGTGCTGCCAAGTATTTCACAACACAGATGATAGTTCAATCACAACTTTCTTGGGTCAAGTCACCAACTCGGTCAACATCGTTTCCTAAAATGCTTCGTTCTTCCATGATTATCCTCTTTCTCCTTTGTGTTGTGACAGACACAAGCACAGCGGTCAAGTCTCTGCTACATAATGTGCTTGCCCTTTGGCGGTCGACGCAGGACGAATTTACTGGCTATATAATCCCTACACGCTTGCCAGCAGAATCAACTGCCAAAGTCATGTAAGAAAGTGTTAAGAAAGTCAAAGGATGGCCGCGAGTGAGAGTTAGTGTTCCAGGACGTCAGGATGACGTCATACACTTCATGTGGACAGATATTGGGCTTAGGCATCCTGTAGCCTTGCTGCACATGTTCAAAGGCTTCTTTGCTCGGGAGTCCTGAAGACAAAAAGAGATACCATCATATACCTACACAACAAGATCTACATGAACATTCACTTGGTCTAAGACCAAAAACCAATTGATAGGACTGAAGGGTTTCTAGATGACTGCACATGAATACCAGGTCTGTACTGACCCAGTGGATACAGTCCTAGCGAGTACAGACCATGGCCCGGTTTCACAAAGCTCTCGTTAGCCTAAGATCTTGTAACTTTCCTCTCCTCTTACGTACCTCCTATACTGTAACATTTAAGGTACAACCAGGTGTACGAATGCTACGAGGAAAGTTACAAGATCTTAGGCTAACGAGAGCTTTGTGAAACAGGGCCGAGGTGAGTACAGACCAGGTGTGTACAGACCAGGTGAGTACAGACGAGGTGGGTACAGACCAGGTGTGTCAGACTAGGAGGGTACAGACCAGGTGAGTCAGACTAGGAGGGTACAGACAAGGTGAGTCAGACTAGGAGGGTACAGACAAGGTGAGTCAGACTAGGAGGGTACAGACCAGGTGGGTACGGACCAGGTAGGTACAGACTAGGAGGGTACAGACCAGGTGAGTACGGACCAGGTGGGTACAGACTAAGTGGGTACTGACCAGGTGGGTACTGACCCGATGAGTACAGACCCGGTTGGAACTGGTACTGTTAAACAATCACGTACCTTCATATGGTTCCTTGCCATATGTGAGAATCTCCATGAGCACGACACCGAAGGACCACACATCTGCCTTTGTGCTGTACTTGTTATATAATAATACTTCAGGGGCCATCCACTTGATTGCCATCTTCAGACCTGCACAAACACAAACAACATTTATATTTCATTTGATCCAGACTGATACTTTTCAAAAATCATTTCACATACAATCTTAAATCAAATTCTAAGCACAAATATTTGGTAAATGTGGGTGACTAGAATCGATTATTGAGTGGGCGAGTATGGTGTCATGCCATTTTTAGCAATATTCCAGCAACATCACAAACCAGAAATGAACTGAAATTGTACCCATATGGGGAATAGAACCCTTCCCCGGGAGGTACTAACACTTTAACCACAAGGCTACCCTACCGATTATTGAAGTACGCCAGCAAAGTATATGCTGCAGTTTTTATTCTTTATGCAGTTGTTCCACTTAACATGTTATCTCCTGTACTCACTCACTCACTCACTCACTATACAATCACAGGCGTCAATGGAAGGGTGATATCAGAGCCTGGAATAATGTCGTCATAAGTTATTTCTTTAACACAAATCTGAGTGAGTGAGTGAGTTTGGATTTACGCCACTTTTAGCAATATTCCAGCAATATCACGGCGGGGGACACCTGAAATGGGCTTCACACATTGTACCCATGTGGGGAATTGACCCGGGTCTTCAGCGTGATGAGCCGTGTTAGCCACTACGCTACCCCACCCCCCCCCTCCACAAATATGAGAATCTGTCAGTGCCATGAATCTTACATAACATAAGTGTACCCCTTACAATTATATTCAACTCCATATTTAAACAAATGACTTGTATACTACTTCAGATAAGATAATCCCTTTGTTCATTGTCATAATACACTGAAACAAAGTATAAACTTTCCATTTGTTATATTCATGTTGAATATTCCATGCAAATAGAGTAGAAAAGACAGCAAAATCAGACCCATGCCAAGAAAAATCATAGAACACTGATCTTTCAAACAAAACTGTTTATTTAGGTAATTTTAACCTGCCATTTGTCAAAGGAATCTCCCCAGAACATCAAGTGCCATTTCACAAAGAAAGGAAAAATCTTCTAAAGATCTAAAAAGCTACCTATTCCGTGTTTCATAACCGAGTTTGAAAGTTCACCACACAAAGACAGCAAACCTGGTTAGTTTTCTGTTTTTAAAGGTAATTGCTTGTACCAATATGGAAGGCACCACACAAGGAAAGAAACAGTTTATATCAGGCTCCAAAGTAATATGTACTTTTTTTCATTCAACGAAAGAAAGAATTTATACAAGCAAAAGCTCAAAACTAATACATGCCATTTTTCAATATTCCAGAAATGAAACACACCGTACAACTAAAGAAAGTGTTTAAACCAGGACATCTCCAATCTTATGCTTTTTTTAACTATACCTGAAATGAAAGACAATTTTTTAAACTAGAACAGCTCCAAACTATAACGTGCATTTTTCAATATTCCAGGAACGGAAGACACCATACAATGAAAGGAGGAGTTACAACCAGAAAAGCTACAAATTACAAATACTTTTTTTCAATATTCAAAATATGAAAGACACAATACAACGAAAGAAGAGTTCAAACCAGGACAACTCCAAACTTATTCATCCATCTTTCCATTACCAGTATTCTAGAACTACTAGGACACGACACAGGAAGAGTCTACGTGACGAGATCTACACAGGTGACTAGTCTACGTGACGAGATCTACACAGGTGACTAGTCTACGTGATGAGATCTACACAGTTGACTAGTCTATGTGACGAGATCTACACAGTTGACTAGTCTACGTGACTAGATCTACACAGTTGACTAGTCTACGTGACGAGATCTACACAGGTGACTAGTCTTTGTTACGAGATCTACACAGGTGACTAGTCTATGTGACGAGATCTACACAGGTGACTAGTCTACGTGACGAGATCTACACAGGTGACTAGTCTACGTGACGAGATCTACACAGGTGACTAGTCTACGTGACGAGATCTACACAGGTGACTAGTCTAGTCGTATTGATCTACACAGATGACTAGTCTACGTGGCGAGATCTACACAGGTGACAGGTGACTAGTCTACACAGTGACTAGTCTACGTGATGAGATCTACACAGATGACTAGTCTACGTGACGAGATCTACACAGGTGACTAGTCTACATGACGAGATCTACACAGTTGACTAGTCTACGTAGGTGACTAGTCTACGTTTCCCTTCTTCCCTCTTCCAGTAATACCTTGATTCCTACCTCTCCTGAAGTTAAAGTCAGGATCATCCATAGCTTTGGTCATTCCAAAGCCAGCTATCTTCACCTTGTTGTGTTCCCCAACCAGAATATTTCGGGCTCCCAAGTTCCTATGTACAAACTTTTCCTTCTCCATGTAGGCCATCGCATCTGCAATCTGAAATGTTGAGAATGTTATGAAAACAGGTGACAAAGTCATCAATATCCCCAAAATGGTAACATTTTATAAGTATATATATGAAACATGATGATGAAACTTGAAAAATAATTGCAAACTATGAAAAAGTTTAAATTCATCACCAGACCTATTTATTTGCAAGTTGGGTTCCAGAACCTTATGTGGTTTTTGAGAACTGCTCTAAAAACTAGAACCACTGCCATTTTCAGTCAAGTCAAAGTGGTCGCTGTGGAAACTAAAAAAGATGTGAAAAAATATTTCTCAAAAGGACGAGCCAATTTATACTTGTGAGAGGTTTACACAAATTATGTGATCTAGACTACCAGTTGTCAGGCTACCATTGACATGGTGGCTGAGTGGGTTAGATTGCCGGTTTTGACTACTGGCGTTTTGGTGGCTTACAATGAGAATGTGGGTTCGAATCCCAGACGGGTCTCAACCCCCAAAATACTAGATGCTGTACTCTACTGAGAAAGTATAATCCCAAACATAAAACATGCTGTATAACAAAGCACCAGATCACCACTAAAACTATCCACGTGCCAAATTTGGTGAGGAAATATTCAATATCTGGTCTTAATTTAATACTCAGCAGAGGCCCAGATAAGCTGCGTATCCGGGTAAAATACGCATATGAAATTTCCAATTACGCATTGAAAAATAATTGTTGAGTACCAATTACGCACTTAAAATGTTAGATATGCAAAAAGTTTAAAACAAATGCGTACGGAATATATTTATAAAAATCGCTTGCGTAATGAAAAAGACATCGATTGCTATCAAGTTGTACTGTTAGTATAGGACAAGTGCTGTACTGTCCATTTAGGATGAGTGCTTTTTTATGAAATCATTTCCATTACATTTAAGTTGGTTTTGATTAGGTATGACATAAGGCACAACATACCTGCTTAGTAAACTTACTCAATGACATAATACTGAGTAAAATGACTAAAATACGTACATGTTTGAAAGCAGTGGGTAACGGAAAATGAAATACCCACTCAACATTCATAATACCCACTCCAATAAAATACAGTGGGTACAGTACCCACATGAGCTAAATCTTATCTGGAGCTCTGACCCAACATTAATACTCCTTGCAAAATGCACTGTAGGGAAAACAATTCAAGGATTATTAAGATCAAACAGAGGGTCTCAAGGCTGATCAAGGCTGCTTCTGTAAGTTTAACTTGATACATAGATACACACAGTAAACCTTGGAATTTAATTTCCTTTCCCATCACATACAGAGAGATGGAAGACAATTAATTAATCTGTGAGTGAGATAAGGTCGAGAGCACAATTTAATCATGGCTGAGACATTCTCTTACAATCAATTCATCCACAGTCCCATTCACAGATTCATAAGTGTAACTACAAGCCTTTGATATAGAAAACATTGTAAACATATTGATCAATACCTGTGCTCCGATCCACAATAACTGACTGAGTGCAAGATCCTTCCCTTTTCCTTCCCGCAAATACAACGACAAGCGTCCATTAAGCATGTATTCCGTGAGAAGGTAAATTGGTTCATTTTCACAGCACACTCCCAGAATGTTGATAATGTTCGGGTGCTGTAGAGTTTTTAATACTTGTGCTTCATCCAGGAACGCAGCAGTGCTTACACAGTCCTGTTTCTGCATCTTCACAGCAACTTCCTTTGATGAATTCCACTTTCCTGAAATACAAAATGTCAAAATGGTGATATCGTATCATATTGTCCAGGAGAAAAAAGGGGATTTTATTTTTGCTATTTATATGTACAGACAATGTTATTTCATAGGGCTGCGCAATATAACTGGTTTACCGGTATTTACCGGTCCAGGCATGAAAACGATACGTATTGCGATACGCTGATCGAAAACCGGTACTTTGACATGCATTCGGAAAACGTCGTAACACTCGGAAATCTTCGGATATTTCCTTGTTTCATTTGTTGCCAAATTAAAATGTAATTTTTGAGTAAAATTGATATTTTATACTTATCCTGACTCATGCTCTTTTGCTTGTCTCCTTCCTTATGAACATAGTGGAACACTTGTATCTCCCTAATTGAAGTTCCCTTCAATGTAAAATCACTAATTAGTACACCACGAGTTACCTCCCTTCCACAAGCTCGGGAACGAGGGCGCCACCTCTACCCATGTGCCTCACTCTCTCCTCATATACTGAGCCCAACATTTGAATTTACAGGGAAATCCAAAGTGTTATTTGGGGAGGATGGGAGGGTTGACTCATGAGTCAGGATAAGTATAAAATATCAATTTTACTCAAAAAATTACATATTTTCCTTATCCTGACTCATGCTCTTTTGCTTGTAGAATCCAACAGAGCCGGAGGTGGGAATATATAATACTTTGGATTTTAATAATTAGTGATTTGAACTGTGATGATTGTAATAACCCTATGAGAACTTCATAAAGGCATTGAACTGATGAATTCCTGCTGCCAGCTTATCAGCTGCCATATAGAGGTTATTACAATGTACTTATTATGATAAGTATATATAATATTAATACAATGCTTAAGACTAATAGACTTAAGCTTGTTAATATGCTAGTATAAACTCCTTAGAGTTTGTTAGCTAAAATACTTTAAGATATAAACATAGCACTAAGCTTAAAATATGATTAATTTTAAGCTAATTATATAATAACAAACCTCTTTAGGGTTTGTTAGTTAAAATATTTATATGATATAGACAGTGCTGAGCTTAAGATATGAATAAGCTTAGCTATATATATAACAGCAAACTTTGTAGAGTTTGTTAGCTAATACATTTTACAATATGAGTATAGTATTGTGCTTAAGATATAATTATCTTAAGCTACATATATATATAGCCAAACTTAGTAGAGTTTGTTAGCTAATATATTTTTACAATATGAGTATAATACTGTGCTTAAGATATAATTAACTTAAGCTACATATATAATAGCCAAACTTAGTATAGTTTGTTAGCTAATATATTTTACAATATGAGTATAGTACTGTGCTTAAGATATAATTAACTTAAGCTACATATATAATAGCCAAACTTAGTAAAGTTTGTTAGCTAATATATTTTTACAATATGAGTATAGTACTGTGCTTAAGATATAATTAACTTAAGCTACATATATAATAGCCAAACTTAGTAAAGTTTGTTAGCTAATATATTTTACAATATGAGTATAGTACTGTGCTTTAAGATATAATTAACTTAAGTTACATATACAATAGCCAAAAACTCTGTAGAGCTTATTAGCTAATAGATTTATAATGTAACCATAGTACTAAGCTTAAGATATGATTAGACTTAAGCTAAATGTATATAGCAAAAAACCTCCTTAGAGTTTATTAACTAATATACTTTTATGTTATAAACATAGTACTGAGCTTAAGATATGATTAAACTTAAGCTATATATATATAATAGTAAAACTCAGTGAGAGTTTGATAGCTAATACATTTTATTATGTTGATTTAGACCTAGTATTGAGCTTAAGATATGAAGTAAACCTTAAGCTAAATATATATATAGCAAAACCTTTTAGAGTTTTAATAGCTAATATACTTATATGGTATCAACATAGTATTGAGCTTAAGATATGAAGAAACCTTAAGCTACATATGTATAGCAAAACTCCGTAGAGTTTGTTAGCTAATACATGATATAATGTAACCATAAAGCTTAAAATATGATGAAAACTTAAGCCCAATATATAATAGCAAAACTCTTTTAGAGTTTTGATAGCTAATATACCTATATGCTATAAACATAGTACTGCTTTAAGATATGAATAAGCTTAAGTTACATATATAATAGCAAAAACTCCATAGAGTTTGTTAGCTAATACATGTTATAATGTAACCATATTGCTTAAGATATGATGAAACTTAAGCCAAATAGCAAAAGCTCTTTAGAGTTTGTTAGCTAATATAGTTATATGATATAAACATAGTACTGAGCTTAAGATATGAATGAGCTTAAGCTACCTATATAATAGCAAAACTCCGTGAGAGTTTGTTAGCTAATGTATTTTACAATATGAGTATAGTACTATGCTTAAAATATACTTGACTTAAGCTACGATATAATAGCCAAAAACTCTGTAGAGTTTGTTAGCTAATGCATTTATCATGTAACCACTGTGATGATAAAAACGAGCTTAAGCAAATTATATATAGCATGAAGCTATTTAGTACTGTTATAAGATAAGTAAAAATCTGTAAGATTGACTTATCTTCTCCGAGGAACTGTCAACTGTTGTGCAAGGACCATGGGATCGAATTGGTGGATACCTGAGATGTCCTCGGTGGTGATATCTCTCAGATAATGGTTGGCAACCACCATATCGGATCTACAGTAATAAACCCTCCATTATTTCAAATAACATTTGTGTAGATGAAATTGTAGAAGTTAGGGCTCTAATATCAAGAGTATTAAAGCTCATGGAGGGTCGGATTAGGTCCATCTGTCTTGTATGCACGTAGTATGACAGTTCTGATCCAAACGAGATATAGTACGTGAGACTACACTCTGCGTAAGTTGATGATAGAGGAAAAAATCTGTTGTATTTTTTCTTCCTGTTTGGTTTGGTGGAGATAAATTTACAGTGCTCTTGCTGGCCAGCGTGATAGCATCATCGTTATCATGGAGTCCAAGTATGTCATCCAGGCATGTTCATAAACCTCACTTGTGAGGTGTTGTAGCACTATATTCATATCCCCAAGTTGGTAACGTGAAACTTCCGCTTTATTCTCCAAACAGAAACTTAGTAGGTTTACTAACCATCTAGTTGTGTTAGTAGCTTGATGATGAAATTCAGGTGTAGTCTGAAACGCTGTGGATTTCGATCCACTTGTATCACGCCGCCTAGGTAAATCGCTATGATGTCCTTGACGATGTATGTGCACAACCGGGAGTTTGTGTCCTCGATGAACTTTATGTAAAATCGCCTGACTGCTGTGCCCTTGTCTAAACTTGACAGGGGAGGTCTCTAACCTGAAGAAAGCAGCCTAATCATGAAGGTTCAGGTTAACTGGGCTGTAAGGAGGCTTGCTCGTTCATTGATATAAAGTTGTCACTTGCAACCTATGTCTTGAACTGTGAACTATGCTCGACCTCTGTGTAGGGCGTTGTTCATCGGGGTCCAATCAGAATAAGGCATTTTGATTCTGTAGAGTACCAAGCTGTGATGTCACCGTGTGTAGCAGGAAAAGGAACTTTGTATAATATAGTGCCGCTGCTGATATTAGAACAATCATCGGTCTTCATCGTAACTTCCGGGTTACCCGAAAGTGACCACGCGTTTCGAGGATTAATGGTAAACGCTGAAAGCTTCGCGAGAAAATACCTTGCTCTGTAATATTAATGCTGGGTAGGTTATTTTCCTGGCTGTCGTGAAAGTACTTCAGTTTTGAATATAATTCCGACTTCTTTATATATAAAGGTACAATAACTTGTAAGTTGTCAGCTTGTAGACTGTATACATGAATGTATCGTCATAATTGTAGAATTAAAGCTGAATTTGTTGTACATATTTCTTCTCAGAAATGTTGACGATTATGAGTTATACTCGCTGTAACAAGGCTGCTGTTCAATTTCGATATTGAATTGTCTGCAGATATGCGTAATGGTCACGCATGTAGATAATCGTGATCGTCGTCCGGGATTGCATATACTAGCAATTTATACGAATAGTTGATTTCTGTGAAGATCTATGAAACGCCGCTTGACAAATTAATACAGCGACGCTTCTGTGTTGTAAATAGCCTGTGCAATTGTCTTCGCAGAGGGCTTATAGATTTGCATCTGGCATACAGTTGATAGACAACTTATGCGATGTCTTGAACGGACTGAGGAGTAGCTATATATGACGAGTGGCTAGTATATGGAGACCTTGGAGGAGACTTCCTCGGTGAACGCCGGAGACTTCACGGCTCGAAGTATCCCTTCTAGATCTACTGGTGAAGTAGACTTGAGCCACTTAGCCTTCGCGACCTTCGGCGAAGGTATCGAGAATCAAAGTCCGATTAGAATATATATATATATATATATATATATATATATATATATATATATATAAGAGCTTGCTTCGCGAATGGCCTCTGTGTTTAACAGGATGTGGGTCGGCGAGCGCTTCCTCCTCACGACGTCCCTTGTAGCTGGTGAGGCTCTAGTCTTCGCCGAGGCGCCTGGGACTTGCTGGTTCTGCATAAGTAGGGCCGAGTGGATCATCTTATCATTTTCAGAAGTCGTGGTTACGAAATCTGGTGATAAGTGTCTCAATGATCGTTCTAGATCTATTTAGGCCAACGAACATACGCCTCGCCATGGATTCAACTGAACCAATTTACGATTGTAGTTCTTATTGTTGATATCGATGATCAACTTGTAGTTTTCATCGATGTCTTAAGCCTTGAAGAAGGGTCCATGTTGTGCGTGGAAAACTTCTAGGCGGAAAGTTCGCAATTATGGTGTCTGAACTTTTGTGGCTTTATGGGATGCTATGTCTAGATTCTGTGCTACCGCAGCAATCGGAGGTAGGGTGATAGCATCTGCGCCGCTTCCTCTTCATCAGGTATGTCTGCGCCGCACTGCCACTCTAGGAAGGTGATGTAGACTTGTGTGCAGACTTGTGTGGTAACCTGTGAGGCGCATCGATGTGGTGATGTACGCAGGAGATCGGAGACTATTGACAGCTTCGCTCTTCTTTGAGTAGTCCCTTGACTCTGTTAAATGACGATCTATATTCGGGTGTCCTTCCCGAGTGCCTTCGCTTCGCAATGCCTTCGCTAACGCCTTCACGAACGCCAGCCACGCCGCTGAAGCTTCCTCCGCGCTCGGTGCTGGGGAACGGCGATTTGAGCTTCGCAAGGCTTCCGTGAGGTCTGGTGGCTGAGTCTGCATCTAAGGATGAAGCCGAGGAATGTGATGATCTATCCCGCCTTCGCGAAGGCCTTCGCGAAGGCTGTACATCTGGGTCCTTCGTCAAGGTGGTCTCATGCGACTTCCTTCGCGGCTGCATCGCCTTGGCTGCTACGCTGACTGGAGGTGCCTCTAGAGTGTTGTTCGTTGGAGCCTTCGCCGAAGGCTCGTACTCTGGGCTGGCTGCTTCTCCAGTCTGTAGTGACCTCCATCACGACCATGATTTGCCGTAGTAGCTCGCCTGGGATGGTCTGCGACGGCAGTCGGTGCCATCTCTGCTTGTTAGTGGTGGGGCCCTCAGGTAAGTCGCCTGACATCAGTGTAGAGACATCAGGCTGCATGACGATCTCTGCTGATGTCATTGTAGCTGTCACCGGTCGCTACTTGTCTCATACGTCGAGGATGATGATCGGCTGATCATCGTGAGAGGCCAAGTTCAGCGGCTGGAACAATCTCGGGTTGAGAAAGTCCTAGTAGACTTCGCTGAATTCCCCTCAGAGGTCGACGCTGCCCTGGGGGGTGCCAAGTCTGCGCTGAGTGTTGGTAGCGACGGGACCCTCAGGAAGATCATCGAATGTTGATCTGCGCTGACATCACTGTTGCCGACATCAGTCATTCTTTGATGTACATCAGGAATGATGATCGGCTGATCATCATACAGGCCCAAATCTCACGATGAGAACAATCTCGGGCTGAGAAAGTTCTAGTAGACTTCGCTGAATACCCCTCAGTGCGACGAAGGGGATGTCTGGGGAAGCAGGACGCTTCTTGAGGCGCGGACTACGCCCCACGCTCTCCACCATTCTAGCGAAACCCAGACGGGAGGGGGTCGACCAACAGCAGTAGCCTGGCGAGGGGTTCAGGTGTATCAGTCATGCTAGACTCTGCATACGCGACTCTATCTGCTGCGCCTCAAACGCAAAGTAATTATTTATTAAAGGTAGAATTGGATAAATTAGTATCGCAACTGCAACGTGAATCACATGAAACATGGCGCAGTACAGCTAGGGTGATATTAAATGCGGATCAGCAGCAGAATAAAAACGTAATGTGCAACAGTACAGAATTTTATCAACGTAATCCACTGCAACAGCACGGCGCCCCGCATAAATAGTAGAAACACGACTAAATATCAATATATAATTGTTGAAAGATACTAGCTAAACCTCTATAGATCTCTATACGAGGTAACTAACTAAATATAATCAAAGGATATAGTGTGTCGGGAGACACAGGCGCTCTCACGTCCAGCTCACTGGGCGAAGAAGGAGAGAGTGAGGCACATGGGTAGAGGTGGCGCCCTCGTTCCCGCGCTTGTGGAAGGGAGGTAACTCGTGGTGTACTAATTAGTGATTTTACATTGAAGGGAACTTCAATTAGGGAGATACAAGTGTTCCACTATGTTCGCAAGAGGAAGGAGACAAGCAAAAGAGCATGAGTCAGGATAAGGAAAAATAATACTTCATGCAATATATTGCAATACATATCGCAATACATGCTTTCGCATCGCAATATAAATAATCTCTGCAATACCCACCCCTATTATTTCCAGAACAACGACACTTGCCGCCCATTAAATGATTTTAAGCACATGTCAGAAACTAAACAGACACTTAACAGTGGCAAAACCTACAGTGTGTTGAGTGAGTGGGTTTAGTTTTTCGCCACTTTCAAGAAATATTCCATCAAAATCATAGTGAACGTCACTGAACGACACCAGAAATGGGCTTCACACATTGTACCCACGTGGGGATCGAACCCAGGACTTCAGTGTGACCTGCGAACGCTTTTATCACTGAGTTAACCCAATACCTGAGACTGACTGACTGACTGAGTTTGGTTTTACGCCGCTTTTAGCAATATTCCAGCAATATCACGGCGGGGGAAACCAGAAATGGGCTTCACACATTGTACCCATGTGGGCAATACTCTGAGAGGACATCAAGGCTTCAGTGATAAATCTAATATTTCAAATTTGAATCAAAGAAATACCAGGTGTAAAAGTTGATCAGCTCCTCAAGTGACACATCAAAATGTCTACACCATGCCTGATAATGAGAAATGTCATAAAATTAGTAATTTCAGCCCAGTCAAATTAATCAAACTCTGATTACCACCTGCCAACCATGTAAATCTCATTATACAAACCTAGCCACACTTCAGCAAACTGTCCACTTCCCAGACGTCTGATTAGAACCAGGGTGGTTTTCAGTGTGAGGTACTCGTCCTGTTTGCCTCTGTCCATTGCCCATAGTAGAGACCGAGGCTTGGAACACACTTGGGTAAGCTTGCAACACAAGCCATCTATGATTTCTGAAATGACGAGAGAGCACATGTAACGACTGTTTGGTCTGTTGTTTAACACAGCACTCAGCAATATTCCAGCTACATAGCATCGGTCTGTAAATAGTGAAGTCTGGACCAGACAATCCAGTGATCAACAGCATGAGCATTGATCTACGCAATTTGGATACAATGACATGTGTCAACCCAGCCAGCAAACCTGACCACCCATCCCGTTAGTCGCCTAAGCATGCAGTGTTCACGAATAGCATCTGACCCTCCGACAAATCCGGCAGATTCGGCAACGGTCTGATAGAACTGTACAACCCACCGGTCCCAGTGTGTGACTGTATATTTCACGATGACTTTGACTGAAGTTGTTATATGTGACATGTGACACTTGTTTGCTGTTTATAAATCTTATGTTTGTTAATAATTTCAATGCCAATTATAAGAAATGTTAAATCTGAAATGTGTGTTTAATTTTATTCTTTGGGTCTTGTGAATTTCAATGGGTCAGACAGACATCTGAAGCTTACACCAGAAATGGGCTTAACACATTGTACCCATGTGGGGAATCGAACCCGGGTCTTCGGCGTGACGAGCGGAACGCCTAGACCACTAGGCTACCCCCACCCCCAAAGGCACCAGTACTCCACTAGAAACTTGTATAGTAGGTTTCAATATGATACATTCAATGTAGAGGGTAAGTTCAGTTTTAGGCTGCTTTTAGCAATAGTCGAGCAATATGACAGCAGGGGACACAGAAATAGGATTCACATATTGTACCCATGTGGGGAACTGAACCCGGATCTTCAGCATTACAAGCAAACACTCTAATCACTAGGCTAACCCACCACCCCTATTTAAATGAAAACGGACGCCCGTACATACTGATCACTATATCCCTCCATTTTTCAAACTGGGGCCAAAAAAGTAAGGAAGGTAATCCATTTAATAATCTGAAAAAATAACATTTGCTAACAGCATGTGATGATTTGATTTAGGAATCCTATCAGCGTGGACAGAGAGGGCCAATATTTAACGACGTGTAGCCCTCCTAGTCTACACGAAGCAAGGATGTGTTATCACTGCCTCACCTTTATAGTGGTTGACAAGTTCAAGTAGAGATCGAAACATTCTTTTAGCTGAAATGAAGTAGAATTCCTTGAGTGAGTCTTCAGATCGGGTCGTGTAGATCTTGTAATGCTTGACCAAGTAGCCTCGGAGTTCGTCATAGTCTCGCACGGACAACGTATATGTGTCTGAAAACAGAGGAAGAACAATGTCATACAAGGCTTATCAAGTTTATGTCAACACTGACACTTTGTCATATAATGTTGTATCAAGTTTGATCAAGTGATACTGATAGAATGTCTGTGTGCAGCAATATCTCACTTTGTCGTCTATATCTCACTGTTTTATACCATGTCTCAGAGTGTCATGTTATATCTGAGTTATATCATTCATGTTATGCTCTGTCTGTCTGTGCCATACCATGTCTCATGCCATTATCTCACTGTGTCACATGACATCTCACTTGGAAAATCATATATCATGTCTCACTATGTCGTACCCTATCTCACCATTATATCATGTCTCACTATGTCGTACCCTATCTCACCATTTTATCATGTCTCACTACGTCATACCCTTTTCACCATTATATCATGTCTCACTATGTCATACCCTATCTCACCATTATATATCATATCTCACCATTATATGTCTCACTATGTCATACCCTATCTCACCATTATATCATATCTCACCATTATATCATATCTCACCATTATATCATGTCTCACTATGTCATACCCTATCTCACCATTATATCATGTCTCACTATGTCATACCCTATCTCACCATTATATCATGTCTCACTATGTCATACCCTATCTCACCATTATATCATGTCTCACTATGTCATACCCTATCTCACCATTATATCATGTCTCACCATTATATCATGTCTCACTATGTCATACCCTATCTCACCATTATATCATATCTCACCATTATATCATGTCTCACTATGTCGTACCCTATCTCACCATTATATCATGTCTCACTATGTCATGTCACACCAATTATATCATGTCTCACTATCTCACCATTATATATGTCTATCTCACCATTATATCATGTCTCACTATGTCATACCCTATCTCACCATTATATCATGTCTCACTATGTCGTACCCTATCTCACCATTATATCATGTCTCACTATGTCATACCCTATCTCACCATTATATCATGTCTCACCATGTCTTACCCTGTGATATTATGCCATTGTGCCACACCTAGTTTATTTCTCGACACTTACATTTCAGATTATACCATAATTTACAAGCAATTTCAAACACGTTTCAGCTTTATTGCAATGAAAAAACATTTCCTCACTTAAAAACTCACTTTTTAAACAACAATTGTATACAACACTATTCATCTTATTCATAATGAATAATTATAAATAGTTTTTTGCTCTGATAACAAATTTGTAAATGTTTTGCTAAATCGAAACGACACCTCGTAAATTATTCATTTCACACCAAATCAGTATATTCAATTATGCAATCAATTTCTAGACATCAAACACGTCAACGCGAGACAATATCTCAAACATTCATAACAATGTAACGCTCCTACACAAACAGCAATCTACTACAAGTGACTACCACGACGGTACGTATCAATGCATTATCACATGAAATGTACAAATGTCTGTCACACCAACGGGTACAATTACAAAGATCAAAGAGCTTTGTTACGAGCCTCATGAAATATGCAAGCGATAGCCACATGTTTCGACCATCGCGACACACTCTGGGGGAATCAACCTTCAGTTTGAGGATGGGTAATAGACGGAGAAATTGATGAAATGTGTTTATTTCGTAAGTATAGGTAATCAATTTCAAAGACGACTTGTAACTTCGGACACCTGAAACAGTTATGTACGATGATTAGATGACTGGACATCCAAATATCACGCTTAAATGATCAAGTTGCTGACTGCTCAGAGGGCATGGTCACACAATTCCTATACAAATGATCAAGTTGCTGACTGCTCAGAGGGGATGGTCACAGCCTGTGAGACAATTCCTATACACATTAAGATCATGCTTTCAGACAAACACACAGGCCATTCATGGGGACTGTTCAGACCATTCGGACAATCGAACAGACTATTCAGAGCAGTATATGGCTTAATCAGACAGACCATTTGTAACAAAGGCTTATTTCAAACAATGCATGTTCAATAAAGGACGAATCATTCAAACCATCATTGGATCACTAATACCACATGGGTATTACGCAACTCCCATAAGGATAATTCAGATCATGTTGGGATTATTCAAATCATGTAAGGATTATTTACACCTTAAAGCATTATCCAGTCAATATAGGGATTATTTCAGGATCAGTCAGATCATGTAGGGATTAATCACACCACAGAGGATGATTTAGACCATTTAAGATCAATCCAACATGATTGCTTTGGTTGTTGTTTTACGCCGCACTCAGCAATATTCCATATGGCGGCAGTCTGTAAATAATCGAGTCTGGACCAGACAATCCAGTGATCAACAGCATGAGCATCGATCTACGCAATTTGAATACGATGATATGTGTTAACCAAGTCAGCGAGCCTGACCACCCGATACTGTGAATGGCCTCTTACGACAAACATGGGTTGCTGAAGACCAGTTCTCACCCAGATCTTCATGGGTCAGTCAAATATGAGAGAATCATTCACACCATATTGGCATCGGTCAGACCAACAGCAAATTAACTCAAAAACAACCCCAAATACAATCTCATTGAAGACATATGGGAAAGTCCAGAGTACTTGCTATAACCATTTGTTCTTTACCCAGGGTAATTATTTGGCACAAACCACTATTTGGCTGGCACCGCCACACCCGATTGTTAATGTGACGTCACGCAACAATCACTCACACTGGCGGAATCGAGTGAGTGAATGACCTTTATCGCCACAACCAGCAATACACAGCCACATCATGTCGACATGCTTGACAAGACTATGACCGCCACCATCAGCAGGGCTCCCGATAAATTTTCAACATCAGGAGTACATACTCCTTATTTTTCAATATGGCAGTACTGGAAAACCTTTAGACAGGGCTCGATTTAAGAGATGTTAACCTACTTGCACCAGGTGCAACCTAAGATAAAAACCTAGTTGCACCAGCCAAATACTACAGCGCTGCTCTTATTGCAATATGTAATGAAAGAAATATGCTATTGAATTATTTAGATGTTTATTCAGAAGTTTACCCACTCAAAAATTGACCTGCACCTGGTGCAAGTTAGACTAATAACTAGGTTGCACTTTGTAATCTTGGCTACCATCAGTGCAAGTAACAAAGCACTAAATCGAGCCCTGTTAGAGTACATTTAGAGTACTGAATGGAATTTAATGGCATATCAGTAACCTTGTGTTTCATTTCATATATGTACCACAACATTGCTACTCTTGTGTAAACAGGTCAATGAACAATAATACAATACTTTTTCAGATAAATACGTCTGTAAATGATTCTAAGACACCATTGCCTTGTGGTGTGTATTTTCCATGTTTTCTAAATTATTTCCTACCGTATCGTGTATATTTTTTATCCGTACATACGCCAGCCATATATATGGCCGCCAACATGAGCAACACACTGGTGGAATCGAGTAAGTGAATGACGTTTATCGCCACCGCCAGCCATACACAACCATATGTCGATAGACTATGGCCTTCAACATGAGCAACACACTGGTGGAATCGAGTAAGTGAATGACGTTTATCGCCACCGCCAGCCATACACAACCATATGTCGACAGACTATGACCTTCAACATGAGCAACACACTGGTGGAATCGAGTAAGTGAATGACGTTTATCGCCACCGCCAGCCATACACAACCATATGTCGACAGACTATGGCCGCCAACATGAGCAACACACTGGTGGAATCGGCACTGGTGGAAGTGAATGACGTTTATCGCCACCGCCAGCCATACACAACCATATGTCGACAGACTATGACCTTCAACATGAGCAACACACTGGTGGAATCGAGTAAGTGAGTGACGTTTATCGCCACCGCCAGCCATACACAACCATATGTCGACAGACTATGACCTTCAACATGAGCAACACACTGGTGGAATCGAGTAAGTGAGTGACGTTTATCGCCACCGCCAGCCATACACAACCATATGTCGACAGACTATGACCACTGGTGGACATAAGAGCAGCACACTGGTGGAATCGAGTAAGTGAATGACGTTTTATCGCCACCGCCAGCCATACATATGTCACAACCATATGTCGAGCAACACACTGGTGGAATATGAATGACGCCACCACCGCCAACATGAGCAACACACTGGTGGAATCGAGTAAGTGAATGACGTTTATCGCCACCGCCAGCCATACACAACCATATGTCGACAGACTATGGCCGCCAACATGAGCAACACACTGGTGGAATCGAGTAAGTGAATGACGTTTATCGCCACCGCCAGCCATACACAACCATATGTCAACAGACTATGGCCTCCAACATGAGCAACACACTGGTGGAATCGAGTAAGTGAATGACGCTTTATGAGCAACACACAACCATATGTCGACAGACTATGGTCGCCAACATCAACACACTGGTGGAATCGAAAGTAAGTGAATGACGCTTATCGCCACCGTCCAGCCATACACAACCATATGTCGCCAGCCATATTGACACCATATGTCAACAGACTATGGCCAGCCAACATGAGCAACACACTGGTGGAATCGAGTAAGTGAATGACGCTTTATCACCACCGCCAGCCATACACAACAATGGCCGCCAACATGAGCAACACACTGGTGGAATCGAGTAAGTGAATGACGCGTTTATAAACCATATGTCGCCAGCCATACACAACCATATGTCAACAGACAATGGCCACCGCCAGCCATACGCAACCATATGTCAACATGATGAGCAACACACTGGTGGAATCGAGTAAGTGAATGACGTTTATCGCCACCGCCAGCCATACACAACCATATGTCAACAGACAATGGCCGCCAACATGAGCAACACACTGGTGGAATCGAGTAAGTGAATGACGTTTATCGCCACCGCCAGCCATACACAACCATATGTCGACAGACAATGGCCGCCAACATAACACACTGTGAGTGACGCGCTTATCGTCACCGCCAGCCATACACAACCATATGTCGACAGATTATGACCTTCAACATGAGCAACAGTCCACCAGGACAAGCTGACACAGGTTACGGGAACCGATTCCAACGCCGAAACCCCACAGGACCGAAAGTCTGGCGCCATATATATCTCAAAGATACCCTATCAAACATGAACACAATCAAGCTAAAATAGCAAAACAAACAACTCATTACAACGAGACTATTACTTCGAACAAAACACATAATCATTAGGTGTTTTTACTTCGATAGAATGTCAAATTACAGAAATATTCATCTACACAATGAGGATACTTGATTCAATCAATAGATGACAACATGATAGAAACACAAGATCTGACAAGGGAAATCATATAAAACAAACACGTTGGCAGCAAAATCAATTACTACGTTGACAGACAGCTCGCCTACGTTATTAATTCTGTCAACACACTTCACGGACTATCAATTAGTTCTACCACTCAATAACAGGCTTGTTTGTTACAATAACCAAATATGAATCCAGAATAATCACTTTATTACTTTCGATTTTTTCACACAAAAAGATTTTTTTAATGCTATCAGTCTCATAAATAACATATTTCCAAGCTTTTCAGATAATTATTTTGACAATCTGAGTTATGCCATTTTACTGTATGTATTTCCTTCCCAAGCTACCATGACATCTGAAACTGAATACACTTAAAGCCGATCTAGTTTTGTCTCACAGTCCCTGAAATATTACTTCTCCTTCTGCCCTAGCGGTTCTGTTTAAGTCAATGCGAAGCAAGTCTAGATTTTCCACAGGTTCAAGCTCTTGATCTCCCATCTCACTTAGGCTCCTTTTCAATTTAAACAGGGGCGGGGGTGTAGCCCAACGGTTAAAGTGTTCGCTCGTCACGCCGCAGACCCGGGTTCGATTCCCCACATGGGTACAATGTGTGAAACCCATTTCTGGTGTCCCCAACCATGATATTGTTGGCACATTGATAAAAGTGGCGTAAAACTTCACTGTCCAATTTAAACAGTTATGTGTCTCATATTTTCAGAGACTAATCGTTAGTCTAACTGCTGATCATTGAAACAATATTGTTAGATGGTTTTCATGTGAAAAATGTTTCCTTACAGTATGTGGCTAAAAGCAGCATTTCTGGAAAAATACACAGAATTTGGAATGTTACTTCATGGTCACTTTAATTTTTAATTTTCATCCTACAAGAAACATCATGCCGTGCATCACAGGGGGTGGAAATAACTTTAATATTGCTAGTGTACTCCAGTACAGTGGCACATGTAAAGTCACTTGCCCTAATAATTTGTCCACTATACCGGCCGTTTTCTTGTTGATTTTATAAATAAACAACATAATTAACATTGGAATATCAACTGGACACCGGTACAGTGTGATATACAAATTTGCTTGCCCGACAGAAAAAAACGCTAGACTCGGGCGTTGGGCAATGGGTTATCTCCACCCCTGCATCATCAATGACCATCCTCATCCCTGTTCCCCATCTACTACAAAGTAACCCCTGTTTACCTGGCGATGCCTCTCCTTGTCGGACCAGATACGTTCCTTTGGCATACCCTGGCGACAGCAGCCATTCCTCGGAAGCATTCCGACTCACCTTGCCGAAATACCATCTGAAATTATCAAAAAGAACTCATGAACTGGGAACTATGGAAGTCACACCGGTTTGAAACAAGTGAACAACTTCAAAATCTCTGCTGCAAAAAAACAATGTAGTGGCATTGGTCAGAGACTAGATGAGGTGAGGTGAAATTGGGTTTTACGTCGTGCTTGAGAATATTTCGCTCACATGACGACGTGCATGCGTGTGTATGTGTATGTGCGGCTGCTTGTACTAGCCCAGACTGAAGCTGGTTTTATAGTGCTAGCCCACTGAGATACCATGCCGCAGTGAAGCATGAATACCCCACTCAGACACATTATACTGACTCCGAGCCAACCAGTCCTTGTTATACCCATTAATACCAAGCGCCAGGCAGGGACCAACAAGTACCATATTTTAACGTCTTTTGGTATGACGCGGTCGGGGATCGAACCTGCGACCTTCCGCTCTCCGGGCGGTCAGAGACTAGAAGTACCAAAACTTGAAATGTAGGACAGTGACACTGGACCAGAGAGTCTGCACAACGTGGACAGATCTTGAGAAAGGACTACACTGGGTTTTGTTTTGTTTTGGTGTGGTTTGTTGTTTAATGCACTAAGCAATATTCCAGCTATCTGTAAAGAATCAAGTCTGGACCAGACAATCCAGTAATCAACAGCAAGAGCAGCGATCTACACAGTTGGGATACAATGACATGTGTCTACCAAGCCTGACCACCCGATCCCGTTAGTTGCCTCTTACGACAAGTATGGCTTACTGAACACTAAATCTAACCCGGGTCATCATGGGTGACTATATTGGGATTGAAAAAGAATTGTACAACACAAGCAATGACTGATCGTGAAGGCTTTGCAAAGGAACACCAGGTACCAACAATTTTTATTCTCAAGCATGACTCTGTCCTTTGACATCAGTTTTCAGTCAATTTGTTTGCTGATGTATATATTTTTTATTGAGAAAGCTTACTTTACGTGAAGACATTTGACTGGACTCAGACTGAGATCATAGTCCGGGTCATCACTATTTGACAGTGATTCATAATTAAACTTGTGCTGATGATACAGCCAAATTTATACAATTGACTCCGCTTTTAGCAGAGATTTCTCATGAATATAGAAACATTTTTGTCTCTTTTATTCCATTTGATTCACATCTATGCATAACATGTCAACCTTGAGCTGAAATAAATAAATAAAAAAAAAACAACTTCAAAAAGTTTTAAAAACTCAACACAGGTCTAAAATAAAAATATTAAAATATCTTTCTGCATGCCAAAAAAAACTAGAACCGTTTAAGATCTCAATTAATGATTACAGTGTTGAACACAATCTTATATGAATATCATATATGATATTTATCAAATATTGAATATGATACAAATTGTTCATTCCCTTTCCTGCGGCTCAATTATCTGCTGAGAACTCATGATAAAATGTCCATTAACTTTGGATGGCAAATTCCCTTAAATCAAATGCCACCGACTGTTCTAATACAGATATCATTACCAGCGTAAAGAGCTCTGTCACCAAGCTGGGCAGACGCAGCAGGTGATTGGTCTATCAGTTGATGGTGCCAGCTGATATTTTCCTTACAACTCATTACATGACTCACAATTACAGAATTACATGTGTCTTACATGAAGAGTGTCTAATGTTGTGACAAGTTGCTGATAAGAATGTCGTTTGTTTTGAAGATTTCAGAACTCAAGTATTTTCAGGAGATAAAGGCATGATATGATATCAGTCTTGAAGTGTAGTTCCATAAAGCTCTGTAACTCATTTCACTTTTTTCTGGAACATTTTAATAAATTGTGTAACAATTCTTCCAAAATTAAATCATTAGCTGTGAATCGGAGGGTTTTACACAGACTTTTAAAAATGGGAGTCATCGTGACTCACAATATATATTTTTAGGAGTCATTTTCAATATTTGGGAGTCATGAAAATTTAATATTTCTTTGTGTTTATTATTCTCAGTATGTAACTGTGTATGTCACACCACCAAATGAAACTACAGCATTGTTCAATTCAAACAGCCAGGATTACTGTCTCCTCTGAGTTCTCTGGAACAATCTGACAGCTCTGTAAAAGTCAAACTATCATCGAACAATATCATTTTTTGCTTATCAAATCGATTTTATTGAACTGAATTGTGAGGGCCACCTATAAAACTTGCATCAAGTTTGACTCGTATGATAGTATTTCGATGAATCGTTAACAAAATTGTTGCGTCAAATACGCAGGAATCACGCATCATGTAAAACCCTGAATCAATTTATAGTGAGTGAGTGAGTGAGTGAGTGAGTGAGTGAGTGAGTGAGTGAGTGAGTGAGTGAGTTTTACATCACTTTTAGCAATATTCCATTAATATCGCTGACGGGGGAAACCAGAGAAGGGCTTCACACATTGTACCCTAGCTGGGAATCCCAGGTCTTTGGAGTGATGGGTGAACACTTTAACCACGAGGCTACCACTGGCTTAAGAAGTTTCAATAATACATCTTTGAGGAAGGACCCAGTGCTGCTGCTGATGTTTTAGATTTCCAATTTGGAATATGTTAAAATTTCAAAGAATTGTGGAACTGCAATAAATGCCGTCCTTTTCGTTTCTAAATAAAACTGATAAGATTCCTGAAACTATTTTGAAATGTCTTTGTTGCTGTTTTTTGTTTATTATTATTTTACAATTTATACATGTGTAAAATGTGCTGTTTTGTCAATTCATTGTGAAGGGAAACATCAGTGGCGATTGAAAGTCTGTGTACATTTTAACTTCAACCATAGAGATGATCTCAACACTCGAATAACTACACTAACTCATGTAAAATATGTGACCCGTGAAGATCCGGGGTAGAATAGGTCTTCAGCAACCCATGTGCTTGCTATAAAAGGCGACTATGCTTGTCGTAAAAGGCAACTAACGGGATCAGGTGGTCAGTTTTGCTGACTTGGTTGACACATGTCATCGGTTCCCAATTGCGCAGATCGATGTGAGTATAGTTTTACGCCACACTCAGCAATATTCCAGCTATATGGCGGCGGTCTGTAAATAATCGAGTCTGAACCACACAATCCAGTGATCAACAGCATGAGCATCGATCTGCGAGATTGGGAACCGATGACATGGGTCAACCAAGTCAGCGAGTCTGACCACCCGATCCCGTTTGTCGCCTCTTACGACAAGCATGGGTTACTGAAGATCAATATTCTAACCCGGAACTACATTCAGAACTAGTATTACAATACATATCATTTGAAAAGTACTGATCACTGGATTGTCTGGTCCATTCACCAAAAGCCGCCAAATACGGAATATTACTGAGGGAGGCGTAAAACACCAACCAATCATCATAAGACATTATAGAAGTATATTGCAGTACACGGATAATACCATCGAGTCCCAGTAGCTGATGTCTCAGCCATTAGACAACATCAACGTAGAATCTCAACACTCAGTAACGGAAGTAATGTGCATCTTGTTTTGAAAATTCAAACTGGCTCAAGTGCCCGTACCTCCACTCTCAACATCCGCCACCTCAATGTATGTCAGTCAACATGAAGCAACCGCAAAAACAGCCTGTTGGAATGTCAACACCATTCCACAATAATTACAAACATTTTTTCGCATGCCATAACGAATTCCTCTATAAGCCTGGTGCAGGGCATCATGCACTATACCTTCGTTCTCAGTAGAATCTGGGAACAAGATCAAAATTCAAAGTTCTTGTTTAGCAGTTGTTTGTTTGTGATCTTGAATGCCATACACAACAATATTGTAGCTGTTTGACGGCTGTCTTTAAATAATTGAGCTTGGATCTGAAAATCTGGTGACTGACATGATAAACAATCAGAACAAGAAGACAAAGTCATCAATATCCCCCTCAATGGTAAAATACTCTTCATGATTATGTCTACGAGTTATGATTATGTCAAATATTTAGATGTGTATGTAGAAAAGTGGAAGGAGAGTATTGAAAGGTTTTTAAAGTTCTGCTCCAGAAATAAGCACTATCACCAATTTCAGTCAAAGTGAAACTTGTTGCCATGGAAACACCAAAAATATTTTATTCAGAAAGAGGCCAAAACCAGATCTATCTATGTGCAAAAGGCACCAGTACACCACCAGATCTATCATCAATATGTGCCAAGTTTGGTGAAGAAATATTGAACGGTTTTACAGAGTTCTGCTCCAGGAAAAGACAAATGTGCCATGGAAATGCCAAAAATATTTTATTCAGAAATCCCAAACTACCAAAAGGTACCAGTACACCCGGATCGTGCTAAGTTTGGAGTCCATTTTAAATACCCGATAAAATGCGTTGTGGGGGATAAGAATTAGGGTCCTGTGAAGTTATCAAATTGTGTGGCATACTGTACTGTAACATTTGTTTTACTTTAATTCGAGGGCCGTATACTTCTTGTCAAGAATTTGGTACAGAGAAGATGATTACATGTTTTAGGGCGAAATATATGTTTTACTACGTCCTTTCACAGAGCAGTGATCTTGCTTGGAAAACTTTGGGCAAGTTCATTCACAGCATCCCAGAAGTTTTACTGCCAACCTGAACATAAGATTCATGTTTTTCAAGTATTCCCTCAGAGTTGTCGTGCATTCACTTGAAGGTCAACGGTTTCCCATCACTCACAATATGTTGTGAGGTGACTAGTACAGTAAACTCCCGTCACAACCAACTCCAATAGACTAATGCTTCGTCCCTGAATATATACTACCCATCAAAAGTTTAGACTCACCAGTGTTAATGTAGCCAATTACTTCAGTCAACTGTTCTGAACTAGATTTTGCAAAATATTCCATACTGTTTAAAGGTACTGTTTACACATGAACTGATGTATTGTAAAACAAATTCGTAACGTTGAAAAGATTATTGTCATGAGCTCAATAAATGATAAAAATCAGTGAAAATAGGTGAATTCTTAACAAAACTTTACACCAAACCGCAGCTGTTCATATGCGCGATATTTGCACATGCTTTTCAGCAATTTGAAGCATGAGCCTCGTGCAATTCATCTGCAAAAGGTTTGCAGTTGGTTCCCCAAAGTTAGTGGAGAAATTCATCTTCGATGTAACCACACATATATGCATAACATATAGTGAGTGCTTTAAGTGAGTCTAAACTTTTGATGGGTAGTATACATAATTTTGACAGAAACAAATAAACCCATTTAAATTGAAAAACTAGCCCCACTGAGTTGGGAGATACAACCTGTTAATCTAGACTTGCTTCATTTAGGGATTTAGCATTGCAGGGAGGGCTAGGCGTTAGGGAAAATAATGTGGTTCAGGGACTGTGAGACTGACTACGAACTCTAAGAGACCACTTCTTTTATTTGGTTGTAACCGTAGTTCCTTGTACGCGTTTCAGGAAATATAAATAGCAAGTGATAGGGACCAGAAAATATGGCTCGTTATATCTGTCAGTTTATAAGCGTGTTCGTAATAGTTGACTGTAGACATAGGTATGTTGTGACAGCCATGTTATGCCAGTAATTCAGAACCGAAAGTCGGTAAATGGGACAAGCTATGAGGGCAATTCCTGGTAAATGTGACACGTGAACTGCACATTACACCTTGTAAATGTGTGTGGCGTAGGTATCCCCCATGAGCTTCCAATTAAATGTACATCCACTGTCACCTGTACGTGCCACATTCATTATCAGCTGGAACTTGATGAGGGCATTAGTGGAATATTAACACCATGCTGTTATTACTACCAGTGTTGGAAGCTGTCATCTTCTAAACCAAACTTAAAAATGAAAAAACAACTTTGGCATGTCAGAGTTGTATGTGTATAGGGTTATACATAGCCTTGAAAAATACTAAGAGTAATGTTAACTCACCAGATATCTTTTGTTTGGATTCTTTTCGATGTCAGGTTTTCTAGATGCTTTGTTTAGTTTTAGGTTTTTATGTTGATGTTGTTTTGGGGTTCGTTTTATGTTTTTGGCTTTGGGGTTTGGTTTTTGGTTTTATCGGAGATTTTTTTAAACATGTACTCACACTTATACAGATGGCATATAGACTTTGATGCTTGTATTTTATGCAAAAAATCCCTGTTATTTAATTCTGAAAGTTACTCAGAAAAACAACATCAATTACAAATAAAGCTTGCTTCTGAAAGCTTGCTGAGTGAGTGAGTTTAGTTTTAAGCTGCTTTTAGCAATATTCCAGCAATATCACGGCGTGGGACACCAGAAATGGGCTTCACACATTGTACCCATATGGGGAATCGAACCCGGGCCTTCAGCGTGACGAGTGGATGGTTTAACCATTAGGCTACCCCACTGACCCAAAAGTTTGCTGAGACTTACCTTAACATACCTATCAAAGTAGCGGTTAGTATTTGTGTTGCATCACTCATGACCTGTGTCCAAACACATGTCAAGTATTTCAAGACGTTACATAAAATAAGCAGGAACCACACTTCAAGTAAAACTCTGCATTCAGTTTTATTGCTTGACAGTCACTGAAGGTTCATGTTTTTTTCTGTTTCATGAGTGAATGCATAGCTTAAAGAATGGCAATTAAGCAAAGTGAAAAATATAATCTTCACATTTACTTCTTTGAACTCAAATGATTTGGTTGGTTGGTTGGTTGTTTAAAGTCGCATTCAGCAATATTCCAGCTATATGGCGGTGTTCTCAGTCTGTAAATATGTGTCTGGACCAGACAATCCAGTGATCAACAGAATGGGCATCGATCTATGCAATTAGGATAAGATGACACATCAGCGAGCCTGACAACAGCAAGCCTGACAACAGCGAGCATGGGTTGCTGAAGACAAATTGTAATCCAGGGCCCTTATTCTCGAAACATTCGTAGCCCTAAGAATTCTTAACTTTTATCGTAGCCAATGTGTTAAGAATGGGCTTAAGAAGTTCGTAGGGCTACGAACGTTTCGAGAATAGCTAGCCAGATCTTCAAGGGTGGAACTCAATTGAATGCCATCATATTGGACTATAACTTGAACAACAAAACAGCACCAACTAACATTGAATCTCAAGACTATATACACCAGCTTCACAAGAGGCTTTATCACACGAGCCTTACCGAGATTGGATTGGATTTGATCACAGAAGGTTAATCTCATAGAAAGCTGTGGTGTATTTGTGATTCAGACTTGCTGTATCTTGTCAGCATTTGTCACACTACAAATAACTCTCTGAATTAATAAGGGCAAGTGCATGTCTGCACGGCAAGTGAGTGTTTCTAGTTTCTGGCTTATCATGTTCTAATGCATGGCTGACACGTCTGATGTGAGAACATTGACTCTTTCTGTAACCTGCCTCGATACTAGATTTGAAGACCACTTGGACAAGATTCAGCAATTAACTTATTGAAGTCAGACATGAAAAGGTTTTAACACGTCTTCATAACAACACAATCCCATGACCTAAATGCCAGCACAAATCTGATAATCCTAACAGCGACAAGCCATTGCCATTTCATCAAGTTAAGGAAATTATCCTGACCGCTAGTCACATCATCTTAGCCACAGAACCTATTAGACTGACCAGTGACCATGCGAAGTGACCTCTCCATGCCCTTGTGACAAGATCATCACATTGTCCATGTAAGGCTTCAGCATAATTAGGAGGATGTGAGATAAAGGTCTGTACAGGATGATAAGCAGAGGCAATGATAAGAGGAAGTGGAGCAGACGGCCAGGATGTCTTCAGGCATGAGAACATACGTGTTGATGTTTGATGGGCGTGAATTGACATCTGATGGTGTAAATTGATTGGCTGATAGCATTATCCTTCAAACTAAAGATGAACTAAAGGGGTAGAGATTGTTTCAGTGAGTGAGTTTAGTTTTACGCCGCACTCTGCAATATTGTGGCAAGCATGGGTTGCTGAAAACCTATTCTACACCGGATCTTCACGGGTCAGAGATTGTTTCAGAAACACTGAGTGGCTGAAATGGAGTTGAGTACCTCTTTCAACAGCACTACATGCATATTATCTCAATGTCGGCAGAAACCTCAAGAGACTTAGATGATTTATATTCATCACTTTGTTGAATCACATGAAATGGTGATAACAGACTGCAGGACATACACAAATATGGCTTCAAATCTACAATCAGCAGATGGCGGCAACCAAGGGAGACAACTCTACCCACAGCTCAACTGAAGACCAATTCTAACCCAGATCTTCAGGGGTAATCTCAAATGAGATATATCAAACATATATAAATTCCCCCAAAACTGAATAAACAAACATTTTCTCCAAAATACTGTTTCAGGCGGTAGAGTAGCCTGATGGTGAGAGCGTTCGCTTTCTGCCTACTAGACCCAGGTTTTTGTCCAAATATGGGTACAATGTGTAAAGCCCATTTCTGGTGTTCCCCGCCTTGATATTGCTGGAACATTGCTAAAAGTGGCGTAGGACAATAATCAATTACTTGATATTGTTTCACATACTCAGACAAAAGACAGAGTACACGTGAATACATATATATATAATCAGACAGTACTCACTCGTGATTTCGTAGGTTCACTTCCCGCGGTGAAGGCGGACACAAATGTCTAGGGGGAGACAACTGATGATTTAAATTATCAAATCCAGGAGGTTCCCAAATTTCTTCGTCAAGGGTATCCGATAAACTCATCAACAGGAAATTATCCTGAAAGTCCTCCACCCCACGCTCCGGAATATACGTTTCTTTCCGACACATCGGACAGGGGAAGTATCCAGGGCGCCCCCCTGGAGTTCGTCGCACATAATCCTTGAGGCAGTGTTCACAGAAGCTGTGGAGGCACGGTAGAGCCTTGGGGCGGCGAATGGGATCAAGGCATATCTTGCAGGAGAGGAACTCTTCCTGGAGCTTCTCTTTCAGTGTACTATTGGAGCCGCGGTTGGTCGGCGTTGGAGTCGTCGATTTGGCCATGTTTAGCCATTCTGGAAGACAAGAAGATCAGAGTTAGAACTGATTGGAATAGAACTGTAGACTCATAACTGCTTGATTAAGATTGGCAAAAATGGGCATTAAATTTCCATTTGATACTTCTGAATTAAGCCTTTTCACAAAATGTGCATATGAACATACCAATAGTCTGAATATCGATCCATAAACAAAGGCTACTTTAACCATCAGAACTGTCTGTTCTAAAGCAATCATTTCCAAACAAAAAGAATAGGCCTGGAGTCTACAATGAAACACAGTGGCAGCCATCCAACCTGAAGCAGCAGCGTGATCCGACATCTACTGAATGCCACACACATTTAATAACACAGCAAGAAATCTGCTTAAAACTAAAAACATCATTCAGTTTCGTAAATTGTATGAGAACCCTTAGAAAATATAAATCATCCTCCATTCCTGAAGAATGTATGTCTCCAAACAGAGTACCCAGTCTTTATTCAAAGAAGTGTCCCAACAATTTAAGGCTTTTAAGTGAATGAGTGAGTGGGTAGATTTTGAAGCCACAGGTGAGGTGAGGTGAAATTGGGTTTAACGTCTTTTTTGATATGATGCTTGTACTAGCCCAGACTGAAACTGGTTTTATAATGCTAACCCACTGAGATACCATGCCGCAGTGAAGCATGAATACCCCACTCAGACACATTATACTGACTCCGAGCCGACCAGTCCTTGTTGTACCCATTAATGCCGAGCGCCAGGCAGGCACCAACAAGTACCATATTTTTAACGGGCGGCCGATCGAGGATCGATCCCGCGACATTCCGCTCTCCGGGCGGAAGCTCTAACCACTACACCATGGAGGCGGTCTATGAAGCCGCAGAGAACAGCACTTCACTCATACTGTCTCATCTTGATGCAACACTAACATTTCCCGCTTTGATAAAACTCATATGGGTATGGTGCAGAGAAACCTAAAAATATTATCATATATATATCTGAACCACTAATATAGGTTCCTGTTTAGCCCAAGGGACACAACCATGTACAGCAAACTTCAACTCACCCACCAGTACCCCTTGGAAGCTTTGGAATAACACAAAACTTCTCAAAACATATTCAACGAACCTTTCAAAACATGTGCTTCCATTCCATAAATTTTTTAACTTCTCCATGAATGAATAAAATGTTCAGTCGGCATCCCCAACCCTGACACCAGCTTGAAGCAACTACTTCTACCTGACAGCGTTGTGGTGTGTGTGAAAACATGTGACCTACATGAGTAACGTCTTGTTGAAGACCTGACATCATCAACGTCAGCGTTAACTGCCTCATGCGGAGAGGTTGTCAAGCATCTGTTGTCACAACCATTAGGAATCAATTATGCTTATGACAGTGATGAATTATTAATGGACTGTTACACAATAACCCTGAAGGCAGCTTATTCACTCAACAACCAAAGTCTTCATGCCAAGGCTGAATTTATCTTCGGCACCATCTGCCTAAACTAACGTTTCGTCCCAGAAATAAAGTTATCATATTTATTATTATATAAAAAAAATATTTATCTACAAAACAAATCCAAAGGGACATAGATTGACTGACTGACTGACTGAGTTTGGATTTACGCCGCTTTTAACAATATTCCAGCAACATCACGTCGGGGGACATCAGAAATGGGCTTCACACATTGTGCCCATGTGGGGATTCGAACCCGGGTCTTCGTGTGACGAGCCAACGCTTAAACCATTAGGCTACCCCAACGCCCCAAGGGACATAGAACAATGCTTAATTTCTTGTCTAGAGCTGAGGTAATATAGACTTGCAAAATCATTATAGTTCTACATTTAATTTATTATACCCAGGCTATTTGAAAATAAAAATTTAAATGTATTTTATGAACGTTTATAAAGTATATTTTTATTTTCAATTTCAAATAGCCTGGTTACATCATTCCGTAGAGGCTGGTATAGACTACCACAGAGTTTATTAATATAATTTAATTTTGGCAGAAAAAAATAATTCCATTAAAATTGAGGAGCCCCAGTGCGGTCTGTAGATTCAGAAAAATAGACTTGCTTCATTGAGGGCTTTTATATTGCAGGGTTGGGCGACAGAGGATGTAGTGTGGTTCAAGGACTAGGAGACAGATCAGCCTTTGCCAAGGAGATAATTTACAGTTCAAGTGTTTTAATGAAATATTTTTATGTATCATTTTAATACCTCAGAAATAGCTTATGTGCCTACTGTATAACGCATCATTTATATCCTTTGTTGCCTCTGCACACGCTGACATTTTTAATAGCTTCACATCATCATAAATTCCCTCCACCACATGAATGGAACAGAATAGTTTGTAACTGAAGTAGACTTAACCAGGTTCAACAGTTCACATACTATTCCCCACACAACATGTATCAAGCTATGAGATATTGGATACAATTTAAGGAAAACAATTCCCCTAAGAATGTGAACCCAACGCACTGAAATGAAATGAACTGGATACCGTTTTGTTGCCTGGCCATGGAGGAAGTTAACATGGAAACAAGAACATTATATATACGTATATTTCACAAAAAACATCCAATGCTTGACAGGCTAATATTTACGATGTGAAACTCAAGCTGTCCTCCATGCAGAGACGTTCATTACAAGCAGCCCTGTGGAACATAGTATCAGTCATAACACCATAAATTTCATCTCAAAACAACATAAACGGATAGAGGCTAGCAAGACGCACATGCCTAGGATTGGAGCATGATGTTTAGTAGATATTTCAGTAGATATCGCGTACAGACTGAATGAATCGAAGCCTCGGCAAGACTGAGTCACGAGAAGAGATGACACCAGCAAGATAGCGTACTGTCGGCTGGGGCACATGGATATTATTCTTCTGCGAGTAAAATAAACATGAGATAGTTACTACCAGGATAATAATACCTCTGTATGTAGATACAAACACGATACTATGTAAAAATGCCCCACTGCTTGCACTATTGAACATTTTTTATGGGAAGAGTATTTTGAAGAATTCAAAGATGGAGGGTAATGTCCTCATGTTTTCTCATAACATTGTTTACGACCATGTCCCTGGTATCCATGCTTAAGATCAAACTTACAATCACAGCTCAGAAGCTGGAGATTGTAAATATCTCGTACATCCTCAACTAGGTACCTGCTTCTGTCAAAGTGTTTTACATGCCATATCCAAACAGAGTTTTTACGATGATCTGCATAATCTGATGTAAGTATCAGTTACCAATTCAGAAAATACCAAATGAAACTTTATACATCTAAATCTTCTTTATTAATTATGTATATTCAGGGGTGGAAATAACCCATTGCCCGACGTCCGAGTCCAGTGTTTTTTTCTGTCGGGCAAGCAAATTTGTATATCACACTGTACCGTTGTCCAGTTGACTTTCCGGTGTTAATTATGTTGTTTATTTAAAAAATCAACAAGAAAACGGCCGGTATGGTGGAAAAATTATCAGGGCAAATGACTTTATATGTGCCACTAGCAATTTTAAAGTTATTTCCACCCCTGATATTTATTTATGAACTGATATATTGTATTGTATGAAATTTATAACATGTAATATGCTTGTACTCTGTCTAAAGCGAATGTTCTGTGCAATAAACTGCAAGTCTATTTGAAACAGTGAGTGAGTGAGTGAGTGAGTGAGCAGTGTGACATTTAATTAACACCATTATCAGTGAATGAGTGAGTTTGGTTTTACGCCGCTTTTAGCAATATTCCATCAATATCAGGGCGGGGGTCACCAGAAATGGACTTCACAGAGTGAACACACCACTTTCAGCAGTATTCCAGCAAAATCACGTCCGGGAACCCAGATAGTTCAACAATAAAAAACACAGCTACAACAGACTTTTTTTCATGTTTTCTAAATACTGCTCTCTAAAAAATATGATATGGCATTAATTGCTAGGGAAACATCACATTAAATAAGCCCCTCTCTTTAAGACTTTCAGCCTGTCCACGCCAAGCAGTAGGGCTTCCCTTGCAGAAGACTAACATTTCACATACGTTTGACTGGGATGTGATAAACAGCAGGAGAAAGAGGATAAAGTCTTTCAATGAATGCTGACGTTTATGACAAGCACTGAATTACACCACACATCCAACCCCTACACAAATAAGTCGTCATTGCACATGACCAAAATCAGATCAACTTTCCAAAGCTACAAGCCTCAAGGTAATTTGAAAAACGGGGTGTGCATCCGTTTGCCGGGTCTATCTGTTTGCTGGTCACAAATACCGTAGTTATCAGGTGGAATGTGATACTTGGAGTCTCGTGACATTTTCTACAGTATTCTTACTTGATAAATGTAAGTTCACATGACAAGCTGTCTGAGCTTGAAGTGACGTCAGAGTTACAGTCTGAGCTTGAAGTGACGTCACAGTTACAGTCTGAGCTTGAAGTGACGTCACAGTTACAGTCTGAGCTTGAAGTGACGTCAGAGTTACAGTCTGAGCTTGAAGTGACGTCAGAGTTACAGTCTGAGCTTGAAGTGACGTCAGTTACAGTCTGAGCTTGAAGTGACGTCACAGTTACAGTCTGAGCTTGAAGTGACGTCACAGTTACAGTCTGAGCTTGAAGTGACGTCAGTTACAGTCTGAGCTTGAAGTGACGTCACAGTTACAGTCTGAGCTTGAAGTGACGTCACAGTTACAGTCTGAGCTTGAAGTGACGTCAGAGTTACAGTCTGAGCTTGAAGTGGCATCATAGTTACAGTCTGAGCTTGAAGTGGCATCATAGTTACAGTCTGAGCGAGTGAGTTAAAATTTAACGTCACATCGGCAATATTTCAGCCATATCGTGACGAAGTTACAGTCTGAGCTTGAAGTGACGTCACAGTTACAGTCTGAGCTTGAAGTGGCATCACAGTTAGTCTGAGCTTGAAGTGCCGTCAGAGTTACAGTCTGAGCTTGAAGTGCTGTCAGAGTTACAGTCTGAACTTGAAGTGACGACACAGTTACAGTCTGAGCTTGAAGTGACGTCACAGTTACAATTGA